GGGAGGGAGCGCGGGCGCAGCCCCCAGGCCTCCGGCCTTCAGCCGGGCTGTGTCCTAGCTGCCCCAGCGCCAGTCGGCGGTGGGCGCGGTGCGAGCTGTTAAAGGGCCAGGGCATTTAAAGGAGCAGGGCACGTGGTGATCGAGGGACGTTTGTGGACAGGGACGTTTGTTTTCCTCTCCTGGCCGGGATCTTGGCGCCCAGACCGGTCGGCCTGTGGCACCGGGCCCTGGGCACAGCTTTGCAGGGGCAGGAGGGGAGACGTGGGCGAAGAACTGAGCCATAGGTCAAGGCCTGGAGCAGGGGAGATTTCGTGATCAGCGGTTGTTGGGCTGTTTTTTCAGGCATTTACAGTTGTGGGGACTCACCCGGGATCAAGCTTTGGAAGCGGAAGGAACGTGAAACAGTAGGTAGTCCCCAGCTCAAATTTTATCTATGAAGAAATTTAGCTCACAGAGCTAAAGTGACATTGTCCAAGGTCGCCCAGGTAGGATGTAGCAACGTCAGGCTTAAAACCCATTGTCCTGACCTCTGGTTCTGCTATCCAGCCCTGGGACCAGACCTCAGCCCTTTGGCAGTTGGGTGAAATGCTCCTGTCTGTTGACTTAATGAATCACTTTGAGATATGAAGTGTTGATTGGTGGACCAACTGCATCCCATTTACAGATGACAAACCTGAGAGGTGTCCAATCTAGAACATTTGCAGAGCCAGCTTAACTCAGAATTGACAGCCTGTGCTGAGAGTAACTCGATCAGGACAGACCCCGGCTTTCATATAGATGCCCCAGATGTCTGCATAGTTCATTCTGTAGACACCTGAGCCTCCAAGGCCTTCGGCCAAGGCCGTTAGCAGTAATTAAAGGCTCTGGATAAGCTGGTTCAGGTGTGCGAGCCTCAGGTTCTCTTCTGTGTGAATGTGGCTGTGTGGGAATGGGGAAATGTGTCAGCAGCTGTGTTTTTGGGGCCCAGCTGGTGAAGGGGCCAGGGATCCTGGCTCCAGCTGAGAGCTGCAGCATCAGCCACCCCTCAGGGGGGCAGGCTGTCTATGCCTTGCGTGCATGAGGGGGCATTTAGGGCAAGGGCTGGAAGTAGGGGCCTTGGAGAAATGTTGCTACAGAGTGGCATGGTTGCTGTTTAAGGTTTTCAGGGAAAGTTCTGTATCGTTGGATGTTGAAGTTACCTGTGCAGCAGGTCGAGTCTTACTTGGTGTATGTGTCAGAGATGAATGCCCTGTTCCTATCTATTCGAAAAAGAAGAGGACAAAGAAGAGCCCCTCAGATGAGCATGGAGGCCCAGTGCAGGTTGTCATGCCTGTCACACCCCCTTCAGCTCCCCGATGGCTGCTCACAGCCCCACTGCATCCACAGGGTTTGCCAAATAAGAGTTTCCTACCTACCTTGGCCTCTAAATTATTGATGACATAACATGTTATGTCATATTGATGATATATTGATGAAGTATCGTGGCATGTTATAGTGACATAACGTACCTTACTTTATAAGTTTGTCATGTGTAATAAGAAACCGTTTTATACAGTGGTTATCACAGTTTTCTTAAGAGCTTCTATCCCACGACAGGAGCCGTGATTTCTACCCTTCTGCGAAGGGGGAGCCGAGGTTCAGAGAGTTAAGCAGCTTGTCCTGCTGTGTGGCTTTGGTGACCGAGGGCCAGGAGTCGATCCCACCCGGATGCATCTTCTTAATCTTTTGAGTCTTTGTGCAGGAGGTTTCACATATTCACCCCCTACCCACGTCCCTGCCATACTTCCCAGGAACAGTCTGCGTGGTCTCCTGACTACCTGACAAAGCAAAACAAATTAAAAATACACACATACACCCGTGCATATTTTTTTCTTTTCTTTCTTTCTTTCTTTCTTTCTTTCTTTCTTTCTTTCTCTGTCTTTCTTTCTTTCTTTCTGTCTTTCTTTCTGTCTTTCTTTCTGTCTTTCTTTCTGTCTTTCTTTCTCTCTTTCTTTCTGTCTTTCTTTCTGTCTTTCTTTCTTTTTTTTTTTAAGAGACCAGAGCAGTGTATGGCACGATCACGTTCTTACTGAAGACATCTTTGGCTGTTTTTCAGCTGTTGCTTTGACTTTAGGACACTGTGTGAGCTCAGACCGTCAAGACGACAAATGTTCTGCAAGTGTTCCCACCTGTTCCCTGACTCCAGCAGCTGGGGGAGGGCCTGGGGGAAGGAATGTTAGGGCTCCGAGGCTGGCATGTCCTCCAGGCTGCCACCGGCCAGGGCCTGGAGGTTCTCTGCACCTTGAGCTGGCAATGCGAGCTTTAGGCTATATGTCATCAGTGTTGGCCTCCACACCTGGAAGTGGCGAGGGTGCCTTGTCAACATCTGAAGAAAGAGTAATTTCAAATCAGTCCTCAGGAAAGGCCAGCCGTCAGGGAGGGAGATCAAGTTTGTCCAGCCTCTTCATTGCCTGGGAGAATGAGTCGCTCGGTAGTCTGCCAAAATGCGGTCTTCTGGAGGACGGGAGGAAA